ACGCCCTCTTTCAAGGGGAGATAATTAGGAATTACTGAAAAAATAATGGCATCATTTAAAAATCTTCTTCTCAAGAACCATAGGGCCAGGAAAGATGAAACTCATGTGAAAGCATCCTGAGGTAGTGTACATTCAAGTTTGTTCAAATCATGAGCCCCGGGGGTAGGGCGGGGCTGCAAATCATTTTATGGAGGATCAAAGTTTTACATAGAAATATATAGAAAAAATCTTTAAAAATCTTCTTCTCAAGAACAGCAAGCCATGATGAGTCATATTTATATGGAAGCATCCTCAGGTAGTGTAGATTCAAATTTGTTCAAATCATGACCCCTGGGGGTAGGGCGGGGCTGCAATGGAGGATCAAAGTTTTACATAGAAATATATAGGAAAAATCTTTAAAAATCTTCTTCTCAAGAACAGCACAGCCATGATGAGTCATATTTATATGGAAGCATCCTCAGGTAGTGTAGATTCAAATTTGTTCAAATCATGACCCCTGGGGGTAGGGCGGGGCTGCAATGGAGGATCAAAGTTTTACATAGAAATATATAGGAAAAATCTTTAAAAATCTTCTTCTCAAGAACAGCAAAGCCATGATGAGTCATATTTATATGGAAGCAATCTCAGGTAGTGTAGATTCAAATTTGTTCAAACCATGGCCCCCGGGCATAGGGCGGGGCTGCAATGGAGGATCACATAAGTTTTACATAGAAATATATAGGAAAAATCTTCTTCTCAAGAACAGCAAAGCCATGATGAGTCATATTTATATGGAAGCATCCTCAGGTAGTGTAGATTCAAGTTTGTTCAAATCATGACCCCCGGGGGTAGGGCGGGGCTGCAATGGAGGATCAAAGTTTCACATAGAAATATATAGGAAAAATCTTTATTATAAAAATCTTCTTCTCAAGAACAGCAAAGCCATGATGAGTCATATTTATATGGAAGCAATCTCAGGTAGTGTAGATTCAAATTTGTTCAAATCATGGCCCCCGGGGGTAGGGCGGGGCTGCTATGGAGGATCAAAGTTTTACATAGAAATATATAGGAAAAATCTTTAAAAATCTTCTCAAGAACAGCAAAGCCATGATGAGTCATATTTATATGGAAGCATCCTCAGGTAGTGTAGATTCAAGTTTGTTCAAATCATGACCCCCGGGGGTAGGGCGGGGCTGCAATGGAGGATCAAAGTTTTACATAGAAATATATAGGAAAAATCTTTAAAAATCTTCTTCTCAAGAACAGCAAAGCCATGATGAGTCATATTTATATGGAAGCATCCTCAGGTAGTGTAGATTCAAATTTGTTCAAACCATGGCCCCCAGGGGTAGGGCTGGGCTGCTATGGAGGATCAAAGTTTTACATAGAAATATATAGGAAAAATCTTTAAAAATCTTCTTCTCAAGAACAGCAAAGCCATGATGAGTCATATTTATATGGAAGCATCCTCAGGTAGTGTAGATTCAAGTTTGTTCAAATCATGACCCCCGGGGGTAGGGCGGGGCCACAATGGAGGATCAAAGTTTTACATAGAAATATATAGGAAAAATCTTTAAAAATCTTCTTTTCAAGAACAGCAAAGCCATGATGAGTCAAATTTATATGGAAGCATCCTCAGGTAGTGTAGATTCAAGTTTGTTCAAATCATGACCCGCGGGGGTAGGGCGGGGCCACAATGGAGGATCAAAGTTTTACCTAGAAATATATGGGAAAAATCTTTAAAAATCTTCTTCTCAAGAACAGCAAAGCCATGATGAGTCATATTTATATGGAAGCATCCTCAGGTAGTGTAGATTCAAGTTTGTTCAAATCATGACCCCCGTGGGTAGGGTGGGGCCACAATGGAGGATCAAAGTTTTACATAGAAATATATAGGAAAAATTTAAAAATCTTCTTCTCAAGAACAGCAAAGCCATGATGAGTCAAATTTATATGGAAGCATCCTCAGGTAGTGTAGATTCAAGTTTGTTCAAATCATGACCCCCGGGGGTAGGGCAGGGCCACAATGGAGGATCAAAGTTTTACATAGAAATATATAGGAAAAATCTTTAAAAATCTTCTTCTCAAGAACAGCAAGCCATGATGAGTCATATTTATATGGAAGCATCCTCAGGTAGTGTAGATTCAAATTTGATCAAACCATGGCCCCCGGGGGTAGGGCAGGGCCGCAATGGAGGATCAAAGTTTTACATAGAAATATATAGGAAAAATCTTTAAAAATCTTCTTCTCAAGAACAGCAAAGTCATGATGAGTCATATTGATATGGAAGCATCCTCAGGTAGTGTAGATTCAAGTTTGTTCAAATGATGACCCCTAGGATAGGGAGGAGCCACAATGAGGGATCAAATTTTTACAAAGGAATATATGGGAATTTTTTTTAAAAAATCTTCTCAAGTACAACAAAGCCATTTGTTATATTGACATGGAAGCATCATCAGGTAGTTTAAAATTCAAGCCCCCCCCCCCCCCCCCCCCCCCCGGTCTTTTCAATACTGAACTGATTGTGCTTTTGCCTAGCCAATGTGCTCAGGTGAGCGATGTGGCCCATGGGCCTCTTGTTTATCATGCCATCGCCTACCGTGAGATGGGGCCTCAGTTTTTAAGGTCTCATCCGAAGGACCTGCAACTTTCACTTCAAAGTGCTGAGTGCTTAGCGAAGGAACAGTTGCTACCTATTTTTTATCGACTTAGGTCAGTCGCGGCCGTGATTCGAACACACAACCTTCCGATCACGGACCAAGTGCTCTACCGACTGACCTACCATGACAGTTGTAAACTTTGAAATTGTTTTCAAAAGCTGCAAAAAGCAGTTTTTAAGGGTTCATAACACTTGTTTTTAAAAAAAGCTACACATCCTATAGCATAAACAAATAAAAGCAAGCTTCAACTGTGCAAGTTTTCTCCCTAATCTTGTTGATGAATTAGTCCAACAAAATGCAGACCTGGATTTTCTCATCTAAATTTTAAAAAGAATTCAGGATGAAGATTATCTTTATATAGTCCTCATAAAATAAAAATAACATTCTGTAAGAAACTTTTCATTCCCCACAAACTAGAGCACTATTAAAGGTAATATATCATTTAGCTCAGATATTTTTGGAATGAAAGGGAGGAACATACTGCAGGATTTTATGTTTTTTCACACGTTAAGAATGTCAAAGCGAAATCCATTTAAAATCATGCAAATAAACTACACACAGAATATACCTCCATTGATGGTAAAGAGGAAAAAAGATCAACCAAAATAAACTGATATTGCTTTAATCTATAAATAGCTTGCTTAAAATGTATTAATTTACTGCAACAGCTTCTCACCATATATTATCTTCTAAAATTATCTTCATATTTTTGGTTTAGTGACTTAAAATTTTTAATTGTTTCTCTTCTGAGCCTCAAAAAAAACAAAAACAAAAAAAAAAACAAAAAAAAAAAAAAAACAGTAATTTGCAATGCTGCTTGTATACAAAATTAATCTGGTGTCCCCTTTAACTACATTTTTTCACCTACTGTTAATTTGATTATCCTGTACACCTTTGACTAATTATTTATAGATATATATGATATTCATTTTGGGTTTGATTTACATCAATAATATAAGCTATGTAGAGCTATCTACCAATTACAACATGATACATTGTATAATTTTATTTATAAATTTCTCCATCATTTATTCATGTAATTCTCTGCAAGCTATAGACTAATATATTCTTTTAATATACATCATCTCATAACAAAATTAATTTAAAAGATATACAATGTGGGGCAAAAGAATCCATGCACTTAAGTAATCATTGTTTTGAAGCACAAAATGTCTTTTTTACAACTCTGCATTAAAAAAAAATTTTATCTCACACCCCCTCCCTTAACAAGATTTATTTTCAAATTAAATTTTTTATTTACAAATGGAAATATAGTAGATTATATAATAACAAAGCTACAAATATTCCAAAATATCAATCTACATTAAAGTTTGGAGTCATTAAAATCAGTAAAGCAGGCTTTAGAGATCTCAAAAAAAGATTATAATTGTGATGGTTTAAAGCTAGCTTCTTGGCAGTAGACTTATCAGCCATCTGAATATGCATTTTGCGGCAAAAGTAACGCCATCATAAACTGCTTGGAAATGTGAAGAACAATTAAAATATTATTTGATTAAATGGAAATGAATGGCATTGGGACATGGTCAAGGACAACCACTAAAAGGAATGCCAGGAGAGGCAGCTACCAATGTGGAGGAATTAACTGACAGTATAGATAGTTGTTAGTGATTATCTGCGGATAGGAACTCATTTGTTTGAATTATGATGACACAGACTTGTGTTTTGATTAGCGGAAGACATGGAATATTTGTATGGATCATTTGAGGAATTGGACTCTTTGTATGCATCAGCTGAAGATGTGGACTCTTGTAATGATTATATATGTTGTGGACTCATGTATGGATTATATAGGATTATATGCATGGATCCTGTATATTTATAGTGTATATATGAAGATGTGGACTCAAGAATAAATTAGCTGATGATGTAAACTCATGTATTGATTAGCTGAGGAAGTAGACTCATGGATGGATCGTCTTCAGAACTCTTGTTTTTTGTTGACAAAACCTGACTTTCAATATTATCGTATTTTATCTTATTTAAGGAAGTGGACTGGTGCATAGATCATTTGAGGAAGTGGACTGGTGGATCGATCATTTTGAGGATATTGACTCCTCTATGGATCATTTTGAGGATATTGACTCCTCTATGGATCAATGGAGGAATATAGATTCTTGTATGGATTAGCTGTTTATTTATAGGTATCTGGACAGGTTCAAATGATAACCTTGTACACACATACTTCCATTACTTACATGATGTAGACAAGGGTTGATGGGTTATCTGAAGAGATGTAAGGATTATCTGGGTGTATGTGAATTAGATATATAAAGCTTTTGTATGTAGACATATATGTACATTGTATGATGAAGTTGATGACAGGTGTGTTCATGTATTACCTGAGGATTTGTCCTGGAAGTAAGCAAGCAGACAACGGGCCACGGCTTGATGACAGACCACCAACACGTTCTCCTGTCTCTCTAATTCCTGTCAAAAACATACAACATATGCATCTCTTTTACTTTTTTGTAACATTACATTACACTTACATTACATAAGATATTGATAGATAAGAAATATTTGTAGTTTCTGTAAATGTTAACTTTTTGATGGCTTTAGGGTCACTCTGCTACAAACAAAAAATTGGATGCATGGATAGGTATATATTTCTAAATTTTTTTTTTTATAAAAGTTAAATGTATCAAGATTTGTAAATTCTCTATGATGCTGAAAATTCTCATTTTTTTTGCCCTTTTCAAATCTATACTATTTTTCCCTCACTTTGAGGCAAATTCTTGAGAAATCTTGAGAAAAAAAATGAACTTTATATGGACAAACTTATTCATTTTACGTAATGCAAAAACATATTTTTAGTTTCTTCACTTTATTTTCATGATTTTTGAAACAAAAAAAATGTTTGTTTGTAGCAAGTGACCTTAAACCTTCATTTAAAGTGCAGAAAGAATCAGTTCATGGATCACATTATTGTCCTGAAATGTTGAGTCACGGTAATAATGTCTTACCATTATGACTGGTTCCAGTCTAGCAACCAAGTCCTGGTATGACTGAAAAGTTTAAGAATAAATGACAATTTCTCATTATCAGTATATTCTGTAGAAATATTTGATTGATAGAAGTGATTATATGACAGACATGGAAAAATTATCAAATTTTGGAACAATGAAAATAAAAATTTATTCCATTTTTTTTTAAGGAGATTAACTTCCCAACACATGGTTGTTTTCCGAATGTTTACAGATAGAATGGTTAAAATATAGTGGCTTAATCCTCTTTAAGAAAATTCAACCATGATAAAATCTTTAGATTTATTTGATATCAAAAAATCCTTCATTAAGGCTATGGAAAGTGTTCTTTGGTGACACTTTGCAATTGCCTTTGAAACATAACAATGTATAAATTGGGTGTATAGTACTCATTTTTTTTAAAAATTAAATCAGCCTTGGCTAACTTAATTCTGGCTGGCATGAAAACACCATTAAACAGGGGTAAATCATAATTTACCTCCCCTCCTGGGTATCTGTAATGAAATTTATCCTGGTCCCTCATTGCAAATTCTATGGGGTGTTTTTCCTGAATCTCCTCATATGTCATCCCCTCACATATACCCTACAAGAAGACGATAGGATTACCATAGATCTGACACCCAGAATTTTTTACAAAAAAGTGCACATGTATTTAATAACACAAAGATTTTACTTGCATCTCTTAGATATTGATATTTAAAACAAATGTTTTCTGTCTATAATTGTTGTGCTGGTTGTACATATGTCTGACTTACAGCATCAATTTCATTGAGAGCCTTCCAGTGTTCTACTGGGGCATCTACATGTCTGGCTGTGGCTTTTGTTCGCTTAAGTTCACTTGTCCACACTTTCAGATTAGCAATCTTTTCATTTTCTAAGTATCGAGCTAAGGCAGTGGCATACTAAAATAGTACAGATTAAAAATAACAGATAACAAAAGAAGGTAACCAATGAGCATAGCTTTATACTGTTCATGTACATAAAAATTCAATTGGAAGAGAGATGATGATGTGGACTTGTAGTGGTTATTTCCCTTAGAGTAAATCGTTATATGTTACCCACCTCCTCACCCCTTGGCGACAAGTCACTGTCTCCCCCAATCCTCCCTTCTAGGTTCATCTGAGATTCTCCATGCTGAAAATAAAACAAAAACCAATATAAAAGTACAATATACATCTGGACTATTGATTTTCAGGTACTGTGTTTGTTTTTTTGCTTAATGTTTAACGTCCCTCTCAATAATTTTTCACTCATATGGAGACGCCACCAGTTGTTGGTGGAGAGCTACAAATTTTGACCTATACTCGGCACTCAGGGCCATTGAGCAGTGAGGGATCTTTTTCGTGCCTACTGTGACACGGGACCTCGGTTTACACGGTTTCATCCGAAGGACCGGTCTCCACATCCCACAGTGGGATTCGAACCCAGGATGTAAGGATCAACTCCTTACTCCGCGACTCAAGAGCGAACGCTCTAACCACTGTTCCACGCGGGCTGTGAGTACAATCAATGTAAAATGAAATGTGTTTGGATTTCAAAACTTAAATCCTGGTCTGATATGAACATGTATTTGAAAGTTTGGTAAATAACTTTAAATGACTTTAAATGATACGGTTGTACTCATATTATTCTATTATTCATAAGTATATGTTGGGGGGGGGGGGGGGATGTTCAATACAATTTATATTTGGAATAGTAGGGATTAAAAACACTATAAGAGAGGGAATGTTTGATGAATTCTGAGTGTATTGTATTTTTAAAACAGAAAACATGGATGATAGCAATTGGTTACTTACCCTTGTTAAATATATAGTTCTTGGCAACACATGAATATTCATAAGGTAATATACAACGCGACTTTGTAGATGACCTGAAAATCATATAGTAAAATGCACTGAAAATACAAACATTAATTCATAAAATTAGAGAAAATAGAATATTTACACATGACAGTAATATATATTTTCACATATTTTTATGTCTTTAAACTAAATTAACCTCTCTGCTTTACTTTGGCCTTTTTGGGGAAATTGGAAGGTTAAATTAAGAGCAAAAACGAGGTTAGAATGCAGTAAATCAAATCTTGTTTCTATCATTATTTACTGCACTTTTGTTAATTAAATTGTCTAGAAATGATTTCATTGAGAATTCCAGAAATATGTAATTTTGCCAAGGAGGTTTAAACATTGAACCTGCTAGTTTCTGGACTAGAAACCTCTTCCCTTGCATGGTTAAATATATCTGACGTGTATACAAAACAGATCCTTGTCACTGTTTAATACCTGCTAGTTTGTGGACTAGGAACCTCTCCCCTTGGTAAAATATCTGTTACAGTATATAAGACAGATCTTTGTCTTTGTTTAATACCTGCTAGTTTGTGGACGAGAAACCTCTCTCCTTGGTTAAATATCTGTATATAAGACAGATCTTTGTCTTTGTTGTGGTCCAGTGATTCGTACATGTTGTTGTAATGTTCAATTCTCCTCATGAAGTCCTCCACTGCCTCATCTTTATTCATCCCTATATAGTCTGGGCTGCACACCTTCACTTCCTGTCATAACGGAGAAATTATTATTTACTAATGCCCCAAAATTTAATGGGTGTTAGTGGCTTTTCCTTCACGTGAAACAGTTTGAGATAAAATACAATAAAGTTCATCAAATAGTTATTCGAAATAAAGGAAAAGGAATATTTTTGCCTTAAATTTTGTATACAGATGTAGCATTCAAAAAATGATGTTTAAGAGTCTCTCATTTGTCTTTTTTATCTGTATTAAGAAAGTAGACACTAATACTGAAAACCTTCAGCATGTATCAACCCCCCCCCAACACACCTCCCCTCCCCAAAAATCATTTTTTACTTCAGGCAGAGCATTTTGCTACACGACATGTATTTTGTTAAATGTGCTGATTGTTTTGAATTAATCTTTCAAGGATATCAAACTAATGCTTCTGGCTAGAGTAAAACTGAAAAAAAAATCCAATATACAACACATATGCATCACAAGAGCATATGATACACAGGAAAAGAAGTCATCAAAGTTACTTCAAGGCCATGATAAATCATGATCCATCAACTGACAAGTCTGATTAATGTAAGTCTCATACTTTTTAAGATTTAATCTGGATATAGTTTGAAAAATTACAATAGGAGGTCAATGCAATTTAATTTTGGGTCACGACACATTTTCCCTGAAGATGCATCAACTGCCCAGGCTTGCTAACCCTAACACTTGCAGTGTGTAAGATATAATCTGGATGTGAAAAAAAAGCTAGCAGACAAACACAAGGAAAACACCAAACCATAATACAGCTTGTCCAAAAGAGTGTGCAATAATAAACTGCATGTACTAACCAGAATATTGGCCTCAATAATGGAAGGGTCATCACAGATAGACTCAACAAAGAACAACTTGAATTTGTTCTTGACCTGAATGATGTCAAACAGTAGCTTTCTTCTCTCTCCTGTCGTGTTGGTGGCATCAAGCACCTGTTTAGAAAAAATATTCTGAAAATTTATATCCACAAATTCAGGCAAGAATTGACTCCCTTTAGTAAATAAATCTTTCCTAAATGAGGGTTCAGAACAAGCACATATAAAAAAAAAAACATGTGCAGTACAAGCATAAGACTAGTATACATGTACATAACCAGCATTATCTGCCATTTAAATAATAATTAATTGCTCTGTAAATCTCAAATAGAAGTTTTGAACTTTGAGACACATTTCTAGACAAGTAAATTAATATACTTACAGCAACTTCACCTCCATTTTGTAGAAAATTGCAGGCATCATCAATTGCCATCAAGGCACATTTCCTGTAAGAAAAAAAGATGTTTGTTAATGTTATGTATAAATCAATTACAAACTCAATTGTTATACTTCATTATACAGTTGAACAGTGTTACCTTGAACATCAATATTTTGAATACCATGAATATTTCAAAGTGAGTATGAAGTCCCATTACCACTCTATCTTTGTGTATTTTTAACCTCATTATATTGAATCCTTCGATTTCTCCATGATTTCTTGGTCTCACTGATACAAGATAGTAAGGTTTGACTGCTCCTTGAAGCACTCATTTTTCTAATAAATACACATTATTTACTACATGGAAAACAAGTGGATCAGCTATATCTTAAGGTATTTCAGTTGATAGGAAACAGTAACACAAAATAAGTTGTGCCAGTTTGACAGCTGGTATCTAGATATATATCAGCTGATTAGTACAAAGCACTAAACTAGTTGTAATACAGCATACAAGCTGATTTCTTCTGAGTTATATCTACTGGTATTATAATGATAAAGCACCAGTTGTTACAGCAAAAAAGCTGGGGGGGGGGGGGGGGGGGGTTCTGAGATAAATCATTCTGTTGATAGTTTACAGTCACTTTGGTAAGTTGTTACAGCATAAAAGCTGATTTCTTCTGAGGCATATCTGCTGATAGTATACAGTGGTAAGTTGTTACACCATAACAATTGTTTCTACAGAGTTATTTTGTTGACTGTACATGATGAATGCTCAGCTGTTTCAATAAAGTCATAAGTAAATCAGTGTTTGGTATTTTGAATATAACATATCAGCTGACTGCATACTGTAGTTTATCCTGCAACTACCCCTTGCATTGACCTAGTAAAGGTAACCTAATAAACCAAAGCTTTATTCAGTCAATGCCCTAATAAAGCCTAATGCATGTATTCCAACGTTCTAAAAGCATTGTGACTTCATGTATATTGCAATGTTTATGCCATGGCGTCTTAGTTTCAAATGCAGAGATGTACATAAATCAGTTGAAAATAACTTGTTTTGGGGGCCTGATGTAAAAATAGTTTGCAGCATAAACAAAATACATGGATACTGTCTTGAAATCGGCAAGCCTGGCCCTCTATTACGTTTTCTTACCCTCACCCAAATATCACTTATATTTCAAGACAGTGACCATGCATTTTATATATATTAGCTATACAGTGGTACATATCAGCTGACTTTATAGTGTTTCAATCATTGATTTTATATAGTGGTCTATCACATGGTTGTACACAATGCACAGTTTGATGGAGTGATACAAGAAAAAAAATGATATATTTCTAGTTTAATGTTTTCTTGTTTTCTGGCTTAATGTCTGTGGATTTAGCTATTTCAATAAATTAATCTGATCCAAGTCATGTATAACTTTGAGTATTTTTTTCTCCAAATTTTAAGTGAACAGCGGGAAGTTTACAGACTAAAATAGAAACAAAGAGATTTCTAAATCATACACAATTAGCAGCTTAAGATACCAGTGGCTGTACATGCTGAATACCTAGGTCAGAGAGTTACTGTCTAATATATTCAAAACTAGAGGTACTGTGAGCAAGCTCACAGATTTATACCCCATGCTGCATTTTTTAAAAGTGCCCAATATAAATATATTATAAATTATGATACATTATAATTGTACATACATTATACAGATATACATATCCAGATGGGACCTTGACCTTGCCAAAACAACCTCAGTTAAAAATGTGACACATCCTACACGTATGTTCCTTTGAGCAAGTTATTAACCTCTGATGTTTCTCCAACAGAAAATGATGGACCTGACATGAATTTAACACTTTTCTTCCAGTGACCTTGAACTTGCCATAATGACCTTAGGTCAAGGTCATGACATAACTTCAGCTCACAAATAATCTTTGTTTAAAGTTTTGACCTCCAATATTTTTTCTGTTAGAGAATAATGAACTGGATACAAATCTTTTACTTTTTTGTCAGTGACCTTGAACTTGATGGAATAACCTTGGATCAAGGTTATGGAACACTTTCAGGATATAAGTAATGTTTTTGTAAAGATGAATATCCGTTTTTCCATTAATAACTTATAGACTTAATACGAATTTGACATTTTTTCTATCAGTGACCTTGAGCTTGTAAAAAAGACCTTAGGTCAGATCATGACACTCCCTTTGGTCATACGCAATCTTTATGTCAAGAATAAATTTCCAGTAAGACTCCACTTGACAGTTATAAACCAGACATGGATAATGCACTTTTTTAGCCAGTAACCTTTAACTCACTGAAATGACCTTGGGTCAAGGTCAATACATATCCTCAGGTCACGGGTAATATCTATAATAAGTATGAGCTTCTTATTTTCTCCATTGCAAGATATGGTAATTACAAGAATTATACATTTTTCAAAATGAGACCTTTAACTTGATCTAATGACCTTGGGATAAAGTCATGACACATCTTCAGGCTACAAGCAATTTTTGTGTCACGTATGAACTTCAAATGTTTCTCTTAACGGAATTTGTAGACCAGGGGCCCGTTTTACAAATTAAAGAACTTACAACTAAGATCAAAAACTTCAGATGATTGTAAATTATGCAAAATTAATGATTTTTTTTAAATTGCTAGCATAAAAGTATCTTTCTATATACCTTTTAAAAAGATTAAAACTATTAAAACTATTTTCTATTTCATGTAAATAGGAAAGTTATTAGCAGAATTGAATTTTGGTCTTAGTCGTAAGTTCTTTTGTAAAACGGGCCCCAGACTTGAATTGAAAACTTTTTCTGCCAGTGACCTTGAACTTGTCAGAATACCCTTATGCCGGGGTCCCAACACAACCTCAACTCATATACAATTCTTGTACCGAGTATAAGCATTTAATGATTCTCCTTTAAAAAGTTATACCCACAAACAAATGATACACTTTTTCTGCCAGTGACCTTGAACTTCCTTAAATAACCTTGAGTTAAGGTCAAAACATATCCTCAAGTCACAGGAAATACTTATGATAAGGTTCTTCACTGCAAGATATGGCCAGGACAGGAATAATACATTTTTTCTAAATGTGATCTTGAACTTGAACCATGTCAAGGTTAGGGTACACCCTCAGTTTATAAAAGTAATCTTAGTAGCAAGTATGAGCTTCCAGTGATTCTCCATACAAAAGTTATAGCCTGTTCAAGATTGCATGGACAGACAGCTAGACAGACAGACAGACATACAAGTTGATTCCTATATATACCCCAAGACTTAATTTGTGTGTTTTTGTTTTTTTTGGGGGGGGGGGTCTAATAATTCAAAGTAAACAAATCAACTTTATAAATCTACTCTACTGCAGTGCATGATACCTCCAAAGCATTGTAACAAATATAAATCTACACTAAGTACTGAAGTTGTGTGATTTCTTCAACAAGCATTTAAAGCATGCACCAATATGACCAATAGGCACATAGTTTCAAACAGGAAAGTTTGCAACTCAAAATTGTGTGTTTCCACTTCATAGCTTTACAAACTACACGTAATTATAAGCAGCTTAAACAAGAAAAAAAAGAAGCCACAGTTACATCCAAGTGTAATGCAGTTGAAATTAGATAAATGTTGCATGTCATAACTTGGATAAAAAGTTATCTCTGTTATAACTTGGATAAAAAGTTATCTCTGTTAAAACTTAATAAAAGCTGACCTCATAAAAGCACAAAAGTGAGAAATCTACTTTCACAGAGCTACAATTTAATCTATAGGTCATTGAATAATGAACACAGATTTCTACACTTCAGTGAAAGTTTACTCTCTCATTTCATACTTCTAATGGCCAACATGTGTAAAAGACAGTGCAAGCATTTGCAGTAAGTACAAATACATTAGTACATAAAAAAAAACTTCCTGGTACAGCTCACCACTTACTGTCTAATAGCCTGGGCTTCTGTGTTATCTTGTCGGAAAAAATCATGATTTCGATACTTGTCAGTGGCTGCCCGTCTATATTCTCCGACGTTAAAAGCTGAAAATGTTATAAAACACTTGTCAAACGTGAGGTGACGGTGATCAACTTACTGTCGAGTAGCCTCTGCTTCCACATTATCAGCACGGAAAAAGTCATGGCTGCAATCAGTGCAGACCGCTCGTCGATACTCGCCAACATTGAACGCTGAAATAAATTTTGATTGATGGAAAGGTGGCAACTGTGGCCAATACTGAACATCTTATTCAAAGACAATTATTTTCTTTTATTTGTGCATGTAAATCTCTAAAAAGAGGCAACTAAAGTTCTTTAAAGCCAATGTGCCTTTTTGCTAACAATTTAAACACAACATAGTTTCCAAATCAATAATAAAAATTTCCATTGAAACAATAGATGTTGCACTTTAAATTTGTACTACCTCGACACAATCAATGTACATTGATGCTGGTTCTAATTTGAAAGATCAAATATTAATCCAAGACATATTTTCATATAAAGGCGGGATAACTTACTGTAACTGCTTTTCAGTGGTATATTATATTGTATTTTTCTGCAGCCTTATTTTAATTGTAAAATCATAGTAAGAAATATGTTCACTGATCTCTATATTTACACTTATTTATGTCCTGTAGCCATATTGATTGTGAAATGCATAACATTTTCATTGCATCAATAAATGTCAACAGTAAAACATCTACAGTGCTCATTAAAATTCACAATTCAAAACTCCATTTCAATATCTATTAATTATACTTCTTTTTTTAATTGCTTTCAATATAAATGTGCTCTTCAGATAATTTTTTTTTCCAAGTAATGTTCTACTACATTAAGAAAAAAAATATTGAGAAAATCCATTTCCATTCATAAAATATGAACTTCCAAGATCCCCTTATATTTCTATGCTGTCTACCTTTTGTTTTAATTCCTATCCAGTTGAGATATCTCGTCAATTTCTTTGACATGTACGTCTTGCCGCGGGCTGGTAATCCCACCATTGATATTACAGTTGGCTTCTGAATCACATTGGGACATGATGCTGAAAAATAAATTATATAATACCATGTGACATTTCTTTGTAGGGTTTCATGTTGAGTAAGATTTATCTCCCTGGAAAGTCATCACATTAGGTTTTCTCCCTTGAGTAATATGTGATTATCCCCTGAATTTTCAAATCATGGCAAGAAAAAGAAAATTAATTAAGGCTATTCCAAAGTTTTTCTATGTTTAACTTCCACCTATGCCTTGGTTTTTGACATCCCAGACCATAAAATTCAAGTAAAATCAGACATAGATTATTTTAGTGGAAACCTCTCAATTCTGTTAATTCCTTTGTATTTTTTTTTTTTTTTTTTTAGAGTTTATCAAATTTAATAAATACTTGCCATTTACTACCTTCATTTGCAAAGGAATATATCTTTCTACAAGAAAACTAGAATACATAAATGAAAAAAAAATCTGCAAATGATGTCATTTTTATGACTTTAAAGTCTGTGTTTTTTCTTTGGGTTTGTGTTTAAATAGGTACATATGTTTTTGAATGATAGGATGCTAAACAGAGAAAAAAACTTGGAATGGCCTAAGCACGTTTTTTTTATTGGTATCTCTAACATCTTCCTTCATTTCAAATACTTTCATTTATGAAGAAACCACTTGTACTCTTTCATTCTTTTAACATGTTCAGCTTTGATCATTTAAAACTTTCCTTTTAACATGTTTAGGTATGAGCCTGCTGGTCATAATTAAATTCTGCAGATTTAGTGATAGTACTGAAGAGTTTATCATTTTTATGTATTTCATATTGTATAAAATTTATGTAATCTTGCCCTCAACTTTTAAGTTACACAAAAAAACAGATCATTTATCAACATCATTCAATAATACAAAAGTAGAACATCGTTAAAATTGCATGTGTGTAAACAGTAATTACCTTGTTTTACAAAATAAACACTATAGGGTTATTGAATCAATGATGAATATTGGCACAAAACAGAATTCATAATTAAAGAGGAAGTGTTAAGCTTTAGTTCAATTTCATTATATAGCAATTTTCTATTTCCAAAATTGCAATTTTATTTAATGGAGTTTATTTTTTATTAGAAAAAATAAATGTCCCTAACAAATATTTGACAAGCTTGAATTTATATATAATTACAATCCTGTATATGTTCCTGTTCAATCTTATTAGATTAAGGGTAAATGTTATGAAGAGATATCTTTTTTTGTTATATCAGTCTCAGTCTTCCTTGTCAATCATTTTCGGATCCATGTGCTTACCGCGAAATATAACTGAATCATGGAAATAACTATTCTCTTTAGAGAAGTGGACACGCTTTTGTTTACATGCACATGGATGTAGGTGAAAGCCTGTTCACTTCTCTGAAAAATAGGAAATAACATTACAGGGGAAGGATTAAGTCTTTTATTCATAGAGTTATTAATTCTAGAGTAGAAGCTCAAGAAATAAGCTGTGTTCTTTACATTTTAATATATATACATCCACTAAATATTTTATCCTTTATTTCTTATGAAAACTACAGTCATTAAAGTATCAATACTATTTTATGTACTCACTCCTACTTTACATGATTATTTATACACAGATCGACATATATAAACAACAGAATGTCTCTCTTTGTCTGGTAGTATTGGAATCAAAATTGCAGCCATTGCAGAAAAATTTACATATAACTTGCAATACCTGCAACCTTAGTTCCCATACTAAAAAAGAAAAACCAAAGAAAGCATTTTATCATTTAATGAAATTACATAAGCACTTACATGCAGTGCTTAATAAAATAAAGTACAAACCTGAGAAAGTTATAGCTTTTAACTATACCAGCCTGTACATGCAATCACATGACAACTACTGAAATTACTGTTTAACAAATTGAAGTATGGATTTTTACCTGTACCATGTTTATGCCAGGCTGCCATGATCACCAATGCACAGTTTCTAAGTTATACATGTACTACAATATGCAGACTCCTACTTTTTTTCCTATTCAATTATACCATGGCTTCCTTCGTCAATCCATAAAATTTGTAATTAATATTGAACAACACTGAAACACCTGAGAGAGTGTGTGTCTAACTAGCACAGATCCTGACTGTAAACAAACTCATTCACACACCAGGAAAAAAACGTCTACCACAAGAAATACTGTCTTCCACAAAGGCTGTTAAAATCCCTGTCAAATTGGACTCCACTGGCCTAAGCTTTTAAAAGAGACACTGGGACACCAGAGACATATAGCATTAGACTGCTGAACACAATATCAAGTTTATATTATGTCGCAGAGATTGCTGATGTTCAAGGAGGGCTAGGGAGACAATGTTTATCATATCCTGATCTTAACATATTACATCATAAGGATGTTTGTGTACACAGAAATAAAGTTCATCTGAGGTCATTTCAGCTTAATAACACCAGAAAAAGGTCACATATATGTACAAACAGGTCATCCAATATCTGTCAAACTCCAGAGGATAGTGTCCAACTTCACTTTTAAAATCCATTCACTGCTATCAAATATTCCAGCTATTTATAACCAGGCTTATAGGTTTCCACATGCTTCAAGATCTTTTCTGGGAAGCAGTCTCATTTATACATCTGTTCTGGCAGATCAAGATTGAGTTGTCTTTTCCCAGAATGTAAATGAATTCACTTTTTTTTTCTATATCCGCATGCCTCGATCATTCAACTGCTGATTGACACAGACATTATAACATGTAGGCCTGCTATTTCACTCTATATAACATCCTCCAGAAGACAATGGCTATATATACAACTTAATTCATGCCATTTGTCATTTATAATCCTGCACAGATCAATGAAGATTAATTTTAAAATAAACCTTGGAATTACGAATAAAATGATATTCAACACCGGTCGAAATGTAATTATATGGTCGCTGCCTAAAGAACTGAAAAACAGATAGCAGCTCAGTTCTGAGCACTTCTCTCTCTCTCTCTTTCTCTCAACATGCTCAATAGCACACGCATTCCATAAACCTGTAAATACATGTATATATATGCATGGTGATAAAAATGTAAGATTCTTGTTTTTAAATTACTACTTCTTTCCTGACAACAAAACTGATTTATCTAATTAATAACTGATTATAACAGTGGTCTGAGGACATGCTAAAACTTCAGACTTTTATTAATCTTATTTCAAAAGCCAAGGAGAAAGAAAATAACACCACATACAGTCATCATTGGGTGATATAACCAGTATGATCACTGCAAAACCTGCACCATCAGTTTCAAAATAGAGACAATCTTTCTTACATCAGCAATGCATCACAATTTATATTATTACCACAATCACAAACAGATTTTATCTGAACAGGAATAAATGCATGAACCCAGTATTACTTTATATTCAAAGCTCGAGTCTCTTTCTCATTTATATTATTCTTCATTTGCACAAGAGTAATGTTGGAGATTTGCAGAAGAATGCTAAATTCAAGCACACTAGTTACATGCTCAAAGGAAGTTGGGGGGGGGGGGGGACAAAACGTTTTCAGTTTGAGGGGGCATCTGCAAAATTATTTGGAAGGGGGACATGGCTCCCCAGTGCCCCCCACCTTCAATTTTAAAGTAGTCTTAATTGGTTTACTATTTATAATTCCTTTCCCAGAAATACGTTGTGTTCTTGTATTAATAAAGTCATTCTTCCTTTAAATCTGATTTACATAAAAAAACTTCCACCCGATGCTATATTGTCTATAGATACGAATCAAATCATTTCCCTATTGATAATTATATGTTTGTAGCTCACTTTATCAACAGCTTATTAATGAAAATCTAAGTTTCTGGGCAGAAAATAAACCTGTCAGAAATCACAAAATAATTTTAATATGTATAAAATATGCCCTAAAGTATCCTATAAAATAGAAATACTTTGAATTCTTCAATTTTAATGAGTCTTTTTCTCTGCAGTTTCTATGGAAAACTGATTCCAACTGTGGACTAGTGTACAAAAAAAACCTGTAACCTACTAGTCTATAACATTTTTACATATGAGAGAACCAAACATGCAGCACATTTCAACTAATCAATCTTTAGTGAGAGGCTTAACTAGATAATAAATATAACTTGTACCATAGGACTGGCGGTAAATTTAGATTTTGCTTTCATGTTGCTGTGGTGTATTTGCCAGAAGAATCACAGTTTTTTTAAGTCACGCCCACCTTTTGGCATCAAGCCATACTGTGTCAAGACCTTGACTAATGAATGAATGATGTCAATTTCAAGACCAAGGCAATGGCTGATGAATGAATTAAGTCAACATTTTAAATTTCAAAAATACTAACATTATTTAGCTTGTCGGTGTCCGCTTCATAAATGGTTCTGTACGTTTTCTCCGTGTATCCTTAATCAGTAAATGATACGTCCTATCTCGAATCGAATTCTCGTCATTTTCTTTCCCGTCTCCAAATACATATAGCAATTTCACATCAGAAGTCCCCGCATTTTTTTTACTTCCAATACCATTTCAAACTTTCATTAAAATGTCACAAATCATTTCATTTTTTTCTGTACGCCGATTGCCATAAAGAAAAAGTTCAATGCCGATGTTTCCAATATCCATCCCCCCTTTTTTCAAAAAAAAAACCGATCTAGAAAGATAACTTTTCTTTCAGAGTTGACGGCTTGAACAAGCCTACAATCGCTACCCCTATACCTGTACCTGACAAAAATCATGTTTTCTGCGTCTTCAACATTTCAAAGGTACAATATCTTCACACGTACCAATTCCGATTTTTTTTATCAACAACTTCTGGTAGCAGTGCCGCAGTAAAGTATGATCCTTGCAGATGGAGACAGCTATTTATACAGACTCCGGACCGTGTCTTGACACCTCGTAGTAGGCGGTGCTATTTATCAACTCGCTTTTCTCTCATTGGTCCTCTGGTACAAGTAACTTACACAATAGATATTAATTGGTTAGCTGTAAATACACTCACAGTTTTTATTCACTCGGGGCTCCGCCCCTCGTGAATGAAAAACTGTGAGTGTATTTACAGCTAACCAATTAATATCTATAGTGTAACTATAACATGTATACCTTTATTTTGTGATGCAAAGAGCCACAAAGATGTCAGAGTTACCTCCCTTCCAATGCAAAAGCAGAACTTTACAAAATGTTATTAAAAGACATTATCCATTCAGTCACCAGAGAAAGTCACATTCTTATATAAACATACATACACATACTTCTGAAATTGTCTCTCTTCCTATATATATTCTCTGCTGAGATTCCCAATAAATAGATATACACTTCAATCTCACCAATGATAATGTCTTACTATCCGAATACCCAATACAGGTACATCCCCAACTCCCCATAACTCACTCTGTGTTCCCTTGTGAGTACCGGTACATCCCCAACTCCCCATAACTCACTCTGTGTTCCCTTGTGAGTACCGGTACATCCCCAACTCCCCATAACTCATTCTGTCTTCCATTGTGAGTACCAGTACATCCCCAACTCCCCATAACTCATTCTGTGTTCCCTTGTGTGTTTTTACCCAACAAACTTGACATCCATACATGTAATATACCCAAGAGTCAAAAAATATTACTTCTCCCCACTTAAAACTGACCTCAACATAAATACAATAGGTCCATGTAAGAATCAAACATTACATGCCAAAGAATCATTTCATCTTTGCATCAATCTGACCCTCATTATGCATGAGAATTTAATTTCCCCATCCCAAATATACCCCACAAAAACATACATATCAGAGGATAACATCTCTCTATCCTGTTTACTGCATTCTCCCTTCTTTAAAAGAGAAGGACTAAGTTTTCTAAAGTATATATGTATATCTATTTTCATTTCATTTACCTGGTGGTACAGGTGTAATAAATGAAGGCATCTTGATTCCTGGCTGTAAGAACTGCTCCTCTCTAAAATACTGGACAGGGAACTTCCAAATAAATCCGAGTTACAATCAAGTACAGCTGGGGCCACCAAAGAAATGTGGTGTATCCCGGAAAATGTTAGAGTCCCAAAACTAATTCAGGTCAACCATCAATGATAAATTGTTAAATGAAGATGATGCATCTCCCAAAGGGTTACACCTTTATATGACAGGTCACATGTGCTTAAAGATCTTTAATTTTTGATACTGTTTGTAAACACTGCAATCAAAACAACTTAAATGCTCAACATCAGGAAAAGAAAACAGTCATAATCTTTATTCCATTGGTCTGTCACAAAAAGATTAAATCCAAATACTTAGGTGACATTGAATATACCTTGAACATTCTAAACTAATAAAAACTCAACAGTCTCTTAAAAAAATCACACACTTGTCGCATGATACACATCAACATGTGTCGGAGTAGTATAAATACAGGCATGAAACCTCTGCATGCATTGTGTGTGTATTATGTATGTCTGCCCTATAATTAGGCACACAGAAACAATTAGTTCAATGCAATTCTGTTCATTGATATTAAATCACTGGCACACTGCCATCTTTTCCAAGGTTTCTGGGCCAAGTGCAATATTATCTAATTGATAATACACTATTCAAATGAATTAAAATAACATATTTTACTTATACTTGGAGGAGTGTTAAATATCTCAAGATTTAGTAGTATGTTCGTAACTTGGCCTAGTTGAATATAATAAACCTCTCTGTACACTGTCTGTCCAATCAATTATTTTTTGGCTCGACTAACAGTATTTCACTTATTTCATTTTAAAATGGCCATAAAAGGCTCAAAGACATGGTTATTTCAGGTGCGGATCCAGAAATTTTTTTTCCAGGGGGGTCCATCCCAGTCAAAAAAACATTTCTAACCCAAAAATTTCTTGACAAGCAAAAAAAAAAAAAAAAAAAAAACAACTAAATTCCCTTCCCAAACATATTAAACCCAGAAAATTTCTTGACAAGCAAAAAATAAAAATACAAAAAAGGAAAAAACCATTTCCTAAAAGTGAAAAACACCTATTTTGTGGTGGTGATGGTGGGATCCACGTTTTCAGGGGGGGGAGGGGGGGGTCGAAAGACATTTTGAATTTGCTTCAGTATATAGTTTTAATAACTCTACTAATTCAAGGGGGTCTGGAGCCCCCCCCCCCCCCAGATCTGCCCATGTTATTTAGTCCTACACATGATGTGTTATCGGGTATATTAACATAAGAAAAAAGAATATAAATAAATAAAGTTGATGGAAGGCTTTCACCTGAAGATCTTGGGGTGGTACGCACAAATTATGTAACGGGCAAGGAGAAAATGTATGGCTGGACCACAATTCAAACCCAGAATCCCTGCATCACTATTGAGATTGCTCTACCAACTGAGCTTAATCTGGGCCAATTGACATCCACTGCCCAAACCATTACAGTTTTTACAAAGATTAGAGTTATCTGTCCCTTGTTATTTCACTAGGGAATATAAGAGAAAAAATTCCATCCGTTTCCTGGTCATGTATGAAGTTCAAGCCAAAGAAATCCCAGATGTCTCATATTGAGGAGGAGGCTTGTCAACAGGCTAGTCAACCAAGTTAAGGTGCAAATTCGAGGAGAGGAGATCCCATCAATAGTTTAGTAGGAAACCCAATTAAATGCTTGTGAAAGTGGTTTAATGAATCCCTAACAGACAAAGATAGCATCAGAGACAAAAAGAAGAAGCTCCTTTCTTGGCTAAAAAGGGTTGATGGCAGCAGACTACCTGGGAAGTATAAGGCATGGATCTTCCAGCATGTGGCTGCTCTTAAATCCTAATACATATGAAATCGCAACTACTATAGTCAAAGCCACGGAAAGTAAAGTGAATTGGCATCTGAGGAGATGGCTAGGAGTTCCACCATCATTTGATTGGACTCTACAGCAATTCAACACAATTACGCATACCAGTTTCCTCTGTTGTGGTAGAATTCAAGGTAGCAAAATGATGCTTGGTAATGACATTACGGAACTCAGCAGATGACAGGATTGCAAAAGCAGAGATCCAGACAAGGACATGAAGAAAGTGCAGGTTAGCAAAAACAACAGTGGACCAAGTGGGGAGTATGTTATACTTACGAGACATCATTGGAAACACAAGCACTGAGTGACAGGGTGTGTGAATGTCACATTTCCAGCAGTGGTCAAAAGCATTGGCAGCAGAGAGGTGCATCACGGTTCAGGCTGGAGTATGGCACACTGAGGAAGATCAATGGGAAGCAAGAGCAACAAAACTTGGAAAACAGGGGGCCTGGATGAAGTGGGACTTACTGGGGTGGGAATTAACCTGGGCAAAACTTTGGAGGAAGGACCAGCTTAGAATCTCGTTCCTGCTGAGGTTAGTGTATGACACACTACCATCTCCCATAAACTTGCAACAGTGGGGGCTAAAGGAGGACCCAAACTGCAAGCTTTGTAGTAAGACAGGGACCATGGCGCATATTCCATCAGGATGCCAAGTTGTGCTGATGCAGGAGAGATATAGATGGTGACACAACAAAGTCCTGTGAGAGTTGGCTGATGTGCTGAAGGTGGAGAGGAGAAGAAATCAACCAACAGACAAGAAACAAAGACAGATACAGTTTGTGAGACAGGGTGAAGCAACGGCTTACACAAGAACAGCAAAGCGGACATCAATGCTGGATAGAGGGCATGACTAGGAGCTCAGAGTGGATCTAGACAAGAAGTTAGTTTTCCCTAACATTGTGGAAACCAACCTACTACCAGACGCAGTATTCGTGTCCCAGCAGTCAAAGATTTTGGTTGCAATAGAGCTGACAGTGGCATGGGAAGAAAACTGTGAGAAGGAACATGGGAGGAAGAGCAGACCTTTAATATCCCATATTTCAAGAATAGAGGATGAAGTGTTTGGCTGCATGTTTTCGATAGAGGTCAGTTGAAGAGGGTTCCCAGTACGATCGGTGTGGTAGCTGCTCGCACAATTAGGAATGTCAGTGAAGATGCATTTATAAATTATAAATGCATCTTCACTGGCCTAGACTATATCCATGATATCTGCAACCTTGTGGCAATCAGCGTGTTATTTATGTCTCTGAGACAGATGTATGAGACAAGTGTGCATGATAAGGTGTAACCCGAATTACCGAAATGCCCCTGATTTACCGTAATGCGAGATAAGTAATAATTTGCAACAGAGGAAATTCGAAACACAAATGTGTTCAGACACAGTGACTCATTGACACCATTAAATCACCTCTTGCTCTTTGTCCCATTATACAATAAACTGGTGCACTAAAGATGTGTAGAGACAATCTTACCTTTATTCAACATTGGAACACTTTCTTTCAGAGCCATTCCCGATTCCAGTAGAGTGGCACGCGATTTGATGACGTAGTACACAGATCCGGTTCAACAAAAACCGCTTGTGGTGGTTAACAGTTTGAAAAAAAAAATCTTAAGATATTGCTGCATTTGTAAACACATAGATATTTCAGGTGAGCACGCAATATAGAACCTTTTAATCCAGTCTGGCCTCAACCGCTGTAGACTCCAGGCCGGAGTGTGAAATAGTTCTTGAAATCGGTACTCTTTCACATCTGGAAGTTAACAGCTGGTTAATGTAAATATCTGTGAATATTGAGTATGTGCATGTATGCACGTCATGCTTAATATTTACATTAACTTCCAGTGCCCATGCATCAATGATAGACTTAAATGTGTATACAAAGCAATGCATTATGCTCCTGTGCTTCTAACAGATAGAGTTAAGATGTTTTGATTATTGATTTATTCATAAATCATACCCATATAAAGATCGACATCCCAAAGTGCATAATAGTTCTTAAAAATTCAAATGAGGCCCAAATAGCAACTTGTTACAGACGTCAACTTGTTGAAAACATCGGTCCTGTCGGCAAGGTCGGTAAAAACTTTTCTGGACTGATAACTTTGAAGGAAACATCGGTCCAAATGACTGTTTGAAAAAATCGAGCATGATTCAAATTAAAAAAAAAATGGGATCATGAGTGCATGTGTGCAAGCAAAGGTCACAAAATCAGCAGAGAATATTGGCAGAGTGGTGTCGATTGTCGATTACAACAAAGACATAAAAACATTTATATATAATTTTAGTCTCTGATTAAAGACTCTCTATCCTAAGAAAAGAAACTAATTGTGAGATTGAAGGCTGTTGGAAATAATAAAGGGCATTTTGGTGCAGTTATTTATTATCCTTCTAAATAGGTTACGTACTGTACGTAACTGGTCCGACAAAACTTCCTCTGGTCTAACAGAACATTTGACTTTGTATGACCAAATGTCTGACAGTGATTTCAAAATTCTGTCATTTGTGTTCAAAAGTGTATGGGATCTAATTAAAACAATTTGTTATGCTTTGAAATTTTGAAATGTTAAATTATAAATAATTCCTGCATTTTACCAAATGGCAAGTTGACTTCATAGATAATCGAACACACACATTTACAAGAGTAATTTCACTGTGCGGGGTCAACTGGCGTAAGGCACTGTATTCCCTCTAGAATATTATCAACTTTTTGGGCATTGGATACCAAATAAACAAGTTTAAATTTTCAGCAAATCAAATGGTACTTTACAACCAGAATTGAATTATTTGCGAGCATTTATGATTTTGGGAATATTTTTCCACACATACAGATATACATGATATACTTTGTAAGTTAATTATAATAACACTTATTAATAGTATTTAATCATGTTAATTAAGGAATGCATATCTATCACTGTATAGATATTTGTAGTTTCTGCATATATGACCATAAAAAATTCATATCCATAGCATTTTCAAGCATTTATCTGGATATGCATGTGAGTTTATGGAAGCATCTTTTTCTGACAGTGTGGTTGATAACACAGCAGTTCACTTATTGACAAACAAGTTGATGAAATGGGAATATCAGCTGTCTCGTTTAAAGTCATCATTTCGTAAGTTGTATGGTCGATACAATGACCTTGTCAGCAAATACAATTTATCATTGAGTCAAATGTGGACTGACGTTTTTCATACTAATTGTTAGGCCATTATTTACACACTGAATTGTCGACAGATTTTTCCGTTATTTCCCGATCATGACAAGGAGAACACGGCCGGTGTGACCAGTCGGCAGGTGATGCTCACTCCTCCATGGCACCTGATCCCACCTCTGATGTTTGGAGGTCCGTGTTTGCTCTGCTCCTATTTTGTATTGTTTAATGGACTTTTGAGCTTGAATACTGTTCGTTATCTCAATTTATATACTTCTTATTAAAGGTTATATTATTTGTAAAATAGATATGATAGAGACCCAAGTTTTAAAAAATGTTTTTAAATCCATGATAGAATTTTTTTATTTTGGAATATAAATTACTTTGGGGGAGGAGTGTACTGTATATAGTCAATATTACCTGTATGGTTGTAATAAGATCAATTTATCATTACTTAATTCTTGTTATTTTGGTTTGACAGGATGGCAGTCAGACCTCTACAGCTGAGATGTAAAACCAAAACGGGACAACACCTTCTTACTGGTCTAAACCTGACATCACAGATCAGTGAGCTGAAAGACAAGATTGTCGAAGTCACCAAAATCCCCAGGGGTGCCATCACAATCAGGCAGGGGTACCCTCCTAAAGTCATAGACGTCAGTGACGACAATAGCCCACTGTCCTCCCTACCATTCAGGTCAGGGGATACCCTTATTGTGGAGGAAAATCGGAAACATCAGCAGGAACTCCAACAGCAACAAACATGTGAAATTGATAATGTTATTCAGAAGCAGTCAATTAACTCTAAAGGAATTCTGATGAGAAAGGTTGTGCCTGCAGATAATTCATGTTTATTTACTAGTATAAATGCTCTTATGAATAAGGGTGTTGTAGATCTGTCATGCTCAAAAGCCATGAGAGAAATCATTGCCGGTGTGGTAATGAGTGACCCTGTTAATTTCTCAGAGGCTTTCCTTGGAAAGACCAACAATGTTTATTGTCACTGGATCATGAACCCCGATTCCTGGGGTGGAGCCATTGAAATTTCTATCCTATCACAGTATTTTAATATAGAGATTGCTGTGGTAGACACACAGAGTTGTAGAATAGACAGATTTGGAGAGGACAAGCTGTACAAGGATCGTATATTTGTAATATATGACGGTATTCACTATGATCCTTTAATTATGGAGCCACTAGACCCCAGCCTTTCTGTTCAGACAATATTTCCTACAAGTGATGCCTCAGTTCTTGCTCAGGCAATGGAGATTGCATCAGAAGCAAAAGCTTCTAGACAATTTACAGATGTAGGTAACTTCTCCATAAAATGTTTGGTGTGTCAGAAACTTCTTACTGGTCAAGGTGAGGCCCAGGCTCATGCCAAGGCCACAGGGCATATCAATTTTGGAGAAGTTTGATGTTATGTAGGATTACTCAGTCAACTAACACACTGCAGGAAATGAATATAAAACCGCATTTACCATCATCATGATTATACATGTATATTGCTATTTATCTGTAGCTTGCTTGTCCAAGATAAATTTCAAGGGGGACTGACCATCACAAAATTCCAGTGGAATACAGCTTTGCAGATTCGGTTTCAAGTAGGAGGGTACTCGCACCATAGATGGACATGCTATATTGTTCATTGAGAATTTTTCCCCTATGTATACAGATGTATTCTAAGTCACAAAGATATGCTTCACACATTGTGCCAATGATTTCCACTATAACAATGAGATGTCTGTAAGAGAATGGTTTTATGTACTTCTGCATTTTGACACCCTGAAATTTAATTTCATATGTGTGTCAAATAATTATAATGTGAACACATGTGATATTTGCTTTTGTATATTTTATATTACCAGATGATGGAGCCAATGCTGTTCACAATAATATACAAAATGGCCAGCTTATTTTTACTTTAGTCTACCTCAGATACTTCACAAGTTTTAAGTTAAATGAATAAAAGCAAGCACAAAGGATTTGAAGTGATATGATTATTTGCCAGTGTTTGACAAAACTAGTGCTAATTGTAACGGTAACCGTTACAGATGTTCCCCAAACGGCTCCCCAATCCCTTATGATGCCCCATTCCCTGCAAGCTTCATTGAATTAGACAATACTTTTGTAATATAGATGGACACTTTATTTTTAAGGGTATTTTATTGGAAAACTACTCCGATATAGCCATATGGGTATTAGCCAATCAAATTTCAGTGCATGTGCTTGCACGTGCTTTCTACGCTTAACACATAAATTTTCTTATAGTGTCTCACAATATATACATTTGTGTTAAATATCAAAGAATTTCATTGAAAAATAAAAGAGATATATCGATTCCATTTAAATATTAGCCAATCAGAATTCAGCACATGCACAGGCATGATGTTGCATTCAATTTTGAAAGTATCATACTATAGGAGCCTAATGTGCCTGTGTATATTATAAATTTCATCCTCTTTTGTTGAAAACCAAGGGAGTTATAGTCATTTAAAGTGTCAGCCAATCGGATTGCAGCACATCTGCATGCGCGTGTTTTCAAGCAATTTCCTATATAATATGTTGTAGAACCTTATAATATATACTTACATGTATATTTTAAATTTCAATGTGTTTTCTCAAAAAAAACAAGGAAGTTACTGAGATTTTTGTATCAGCCAATCAGAGTGAAGCGCACGTGCATGTGCGTGGGTTAATGCTAATTTGACCAAGTCATCTTGTCTAGACTACTAATGTAATTTTATATTCTGAGTTTCAAAGCAATTCATCAAGAAATATAAAAGTTATGGCTATATTAAGTATATCAGCCATTTCACTCATCGCACGCGCGCGCACGTGCATGCAAAATGACCTTCGTTCTGCACATCTACACAACATGCCTATTAACCCTAAAAAGGTTTCATCTCAATCGGATGAGTAGTTTCCGAGAACACTCGGGGACAAAAAAGTACCAGAGAAGAAATTTCGAAAAAAGAAAGTAAAAACAATATGTTTCCAAACTTTGTTTGGGGAACATAATTATTACATTACTTTATTTAAAGGTCAAAGCTATTTCTAATATTCTTTGAAGAATTCAATTAACATCCTTGAATGTTCAGAAAGTCTTAAACTTTTATTAGTTATTGCATATTTGAAAATACAATGACCATGTCAAGTGAAATTGATAATCTGAGTAATAGATACTGGTAGCTATTACTTAGAGACAAATTAAACCCCTGCAGTCAGCCATAACAAGGATATGTGCAAAATATGTACATTTCTCACTGACATTCCATGCAGGAACTTTTTTTTTTTATTGATCTTCAATTGAGATTTATTGAATGCATAACTCAAACTCTGTGTTCATTATATTCACGTGAAGGTAGCAAATCATAAGACGTAGGTTTCTATTGTTTTTCAAGGGCACAATGAAATGATTATCAAAGGCCGATAACCATTGCAAACTGAACATTTTGTGTAAGATAAAAATGCAGGAAAATGATACGTAATTTGCAATTTTTACGTTATTAAAAGTACCATGACTATGATGAGAAAAAAAAATCCTTGCTGTTTTAAGCACTTCAAAGGGAGAAATTATCTAAAATGTGAGAGAACAAAAAGTGGTCTTTATCAACAAGAGGCCCATGGACCACAATGCTCATCTGAGTCACCTTGGCCCTGCTATTTTGGAGAACATTAAAAAAAGAAGTCCCTCTTCAAATGAACAATTTTGACCCCATATTGTGGTCCCCATACAGGACTGACAGTTTATAATTAATCTGGGGATACTTTCAGCCCTGCTGTTCTTGTTGAGAAAATTCTAATATTTTTTCTTATACAAATGTATATACATCTGTAAAACTTTGATTTCTTTATGTGACCCCACCCTATGCCGGGGGCCATGATTTGAATAAACTTTAATTTGCACTTCATGAGGATGCTTTCAAATTAATATCGCTAATCATGGTCCTGCTGTTCTTGTGAAGTAGATTTTATATTTTTAAAAAATCCCTATACCGTATAAACCTTTGATCGTCTAATGATTCGAAGCTGCTCCACTTGAGGATAAATATGCTTGCATATTAATTTCCCTTTTGATATTCCTGCTGTTTTCTGAGAAACATTTTTTTCAATATATTCCCATGGAAATCTTTGATCTCCTATTGATACCCCATCCTTCCCAATGTGGGCATGATTTGAATACCATATGGGAATGCTTTCATATTTATATCATTTATCCTGGTCCAGCAGGCTCCAGCTGTTCTTGAAAGACTTTTAAACAATTTCTAATATATCCCCATGTAAAATTTTGATCCCCTATTGTGGCCCCAATCTATCACTGGAAGCCACGATTTAAATGAACACACTTGAATCTATACTATGTCAGAAGGGTCACACACAAGTTTCATCTTTTCTCGCCCCGTGGTTTTTGAAAAGATTATTAAATCCCCCCCCCCCTCATTATTTTTTTTAATTTTCTACCATTGAAAAAGAGCGTGGTCCTTCATTTGGTCAAACTTGATTTTTTCCTTACCCACGGATGCTTTGTTGCAAGTTTGGTTGAATTTAGCCCAGTAGTTATGGAGAAGTTGAAAATGTGAAAGTTTACAGACGACACACGACGGACAGCTTGACAGACGGACGCCATGCAGACACTCTTCGATCAGACTTGGCTCAGGTAAACTAAAACTTACATAATTTTTTTCTTAAATTCATACTGTAAACAAAATATTTCAATTTCTACAAATTAAAATCATTAGAATTAAATAGCTAAAAGGATAACACAATCTTTCCCTAAACATTAATTTTCTAGCCAGCTGCAGCAAATACTTTTAATGCAATCTGTCGAATTAAATGGAGGTGGAATTCTTCAGATTTACCACAGTTTGATTTCATTTGATGATTATTATAGATTATTTTTAAAATATGAATGTGACATTTGTTCTTTCTATAAACAAACTGATATGGTGTATATATATACACTGTACATACATGTATAAGCTCATGAAGTTTTCCATAGGTTAACATTCAGAGTCAGCTGGGAGTATTCTGCTAAGTTTGTGCTGCGCTTGTTAGCTTTAAAATGATATTAACATTGATTTCACTAGTGTCTAAAACATCAAATGTTTAACATTTTTTTGTATTTCATAATTTGAAATTTGCGAAGTGGAATCACATTTTGATTGATACAATTTGAATTGAGATTTAATGTTGACTCTGAACTATACAGACTAAAGATATCATCTATCACCTCCGTTTGAAGTTTGAGACTCATTGGTCAATCGAACTCTACATATCGTGTCCAAGGACTCGCGGATTACTTTGACCTTTAACCTTTTGACCCTCTAATCAACACATTCGTTATTTTTTATCCGATCATCTATATCCATAGAAAGTTTGAGACAAAATGGTACTCTAAATAAATATCGTGTTCACAACAATGCTAAGAAGAAGTACGATCGTTGACCTTTGAATTTTGACCCTAAAATGCACTGGTACATACCCCAGGTATTCTGTCACCTTTGTAGCAAATTTGAGACAAAAAAGTCAATAAGTACATCACATATATTCCTTAGCAACTTTTCAGCTAGGGATAATTGCAATTACAAGTAATCATTTTTCAAACCACAGTAGAATTCTACATTAAGAAAGGAATTATCCGCAAAAATATCATATTTTTGCTGTTGTCCAATTCTGGTGAAGTACCTTTTTAAGCTTGCCTGCTTTCGTTGAGTTGGGCGTGTACAAGATTCTAATTGGCTCATCAGATCTATGTCAAACGTACCTTGTTTCCATGACTGTTAGCTTGTAAAACACCATTCTTAATTTTAGCTAAATAGAAATTATTCCAATTTAAGTTCAGTCATGTACTCCCATCATTACTATATTATTACAGGCAGCTTCTAGCAGAGGTTTAAGCTCTTCTATAAATGCATTTCATGGAGGTGCTATCAATGTAAATCACCTCAAATCAATTATGACATAAGTAAGATTAAGGAAAATATTTTATTATAAGGTAATGGCTATAGCTATAGGCAGACGAATATAAATTATTCAATTGTTGTCTGGGAAGTATTTATAGTATTTATTTATTTATAGAATTTATACTTTACAGGTACACCTTTCTTAAATGACACTTTTTGCACAAAATGGTACAAGTCCAGGAGTTAAATACGCAGTATATCCAGCATTTTCAGGTGCGGATCCAGAATTTTTATTTCAGTATTGTAACAAATGTCAGACTCGGAAATTTTTTTTAGACACTTTCTTTTGTCCTCATGACTCACATGACTTTCCTTTCCATTTTAAGAGGAGTCTGTGTTTCCGGGGGGAGAGGGGTTCAAAGGACATTTATTGTTATTTTTGCATAGTAATTTAATAACTCTTTTAGGTTTCTGGAGAAGTCCGAACCCCTCTCCTCGACCCCTCTGAAACAGCGCTTGATGTGTCAGTTTCTGGCTTGTTTAAGTTTCACCTTTAACATTTCCAGAGATTTGCCACAAAACATCATTAGGTTAAACTTCGATCGAGAGGAGATCGAGATTAACGTTTTACTAAAAAAATCATACCCTCGGTATTATAATACCGAGGGTATGATTTTTTAGTAAAACGTCAATTCTGCGGTGTTTTTTTTTTTTTTTTTTTTTGTTTTTTTTTTTTTTTTTTTGTTTTTCTTACGGAATACATTGTAAATGTGTACTAGAAGAATAATTTATGAAAAAAGACATAAAAAAAAATTGGCCCGGGGGTATATTCGGGAAGGGGTGGGGGATTCTGTCCACAAGTACCTGTAATATCACCAATTTAAATTGGTGACATCATCTATTTGCATTTCTTATAACATTAAAAATGAATGCTAGCTTCCTCACACAGGTACTTGTGGACAGGACCCCCTCCTCCCCCCCCCCCCCCGGATATTCAACCCCGGGGCTTGGACATTTTTTTCACAAATTTTTTTTATTACACTTATTTATCATGTGTACCATAGAAAAAAAATCATGAA